TATGCTTTATCCTTTATGCTTTATCCTTTTTAATCTATTACTCTCCGGCGATTTCAATCGATACGTATCTAATCTTGTCAGCGCAATCTCCTACTCTACTACTATCCTAATCCCTCGATCACTCGATACATATGTTTTTCATTGTCGCGTACTATCCTAATCTCGGAGTAGCGAACTATGAACGGAGCCTTACGATAGTGACATGAAGAAGACTAACTCATCAGATCTGACGAAGCAAAAGAGGTAATCGTAGACCACAATGGGCAAAGGGATGTTATGGAAGCGATTCAGCCGATGATGGTAGGGTGGAGGGTAAAACACGAGGGTAAAGCTAGAAAAGAAAATGTTATATGGATGAAATGAGTGATGAGGAGTCCACTGGTATCCCCGTGATCACCTTTGCTTCAGAGCACCCATATGGGATTATCAGCAACAAATGTCTTCATAGTCTATAAGCTCTAGTGAAGTGAGTATAAAGTCCACATGGACACTAACAAGCGGAACTACGTCATCAATCGTTCCGCTATTGTTACATAAAAATATGCACTTTTTATGTACATATTACAACGTGGTGTTCCCCACATGTAAGCATGAAAGGCTTTCGAATGCCACCTCAATAATAACAACACAATACATTAACTAAAAATTGGGCGCTATCGCAATATACGGGGGGGGGGCTAGTAAATGCTTGTCCACGTTCCTTTAACGGTCTAAACCTGTAAATGCTCAAACATGTCAATTAGTGGTTAGGGCCGAAACAGAAGCGCGCATGCGTTACCTAATAATAAGGCTAAGCTTTTTGAGGGAAGAAAGAGAGCAAAGATCGCTTCAATTTAAAACAGTTCCTTTTTGGAACAAAGCGTTAGGTGGAGAAGAAGAGGCTCCAAATTGCGTGACCACGTTTTTTTCACCCTTAGGTGCCTGCCCAGTCCTGGACTTGATTCATAGAGATGCCCTCGTATCTTGTGATAGCGCCCAAAATATTAGATATTACAAAATCAGAAAAAACCAGCGGAATGCGTAGGAATGAAACCGCTGGCATCGGGTCAGATATGTATACACGTTCAAATGTGTTCTAAGCTTCAACCAGGTTTTAGCAAGCACGTAACCACAATTTGGCAAGAATGCAGACGTAAAGACAAAATGTCCCCGTATATTGCGAAAGCGTCAAAGCGTCAGTTTTGACATGAACTCTTGACCAAGGTACACCAATGCGCAGCGTACATTCTGCGGGTTTCTCTCCCCCCTCCCCGCTCCCCATTTCCCGAAAATCCCAGATGCGACAAACATGACTCACTTCGTTTGTACTGGCTTGGCAAAGGGTTGATTCAGCATCCAAAAAAGCAGTTATTCACTATAAATGAGGTCTCGTTCCTCTGACTCTTCACCTACAAAATCAACGGTTACCCTGCGGAAGGTCCGTCGCGCGACGACAAGGCAGAGACGCAGACCGCTCAGCGGACGAGTCGCAGCATGTACTGCAGTGATTCGCGTCAAGTGAAATGGAATGTACTAGAGTACGTCCCACATCACACAGCACATGCTGCGACTCGTCCGCTGACCGTCTGCGTCTCTGCCTTCTCGCCACGGGACCACCTCATGTCGGAGACCCAGAATCGCAATTGCAACGACGAAAATTACGAGACCACTTGTACTTTCCTGTTCTCTTCTGTGAATGGCTAAAGCACAGACGATCAGAGAAGGGCGCCTGGCTCGGCTCCAATCCCAGGGAGGAAGGTGAGAGCCTAGGACTAAGCCTTGGAATAAGGAAGGGCTCCGGAGTGGGTGAGTCCAATTACAGTGTGGCAAAAGTTTGAATGCGTAGATCACAGTAGTAATAAGCTGCTGTTTAGGCGAGAGGGCGCAGGCAAGAGCATCAAATGGGGCGGTGAAGGACGAGTTCAAGCTGCATGTAGGCCAACAACCATGGACAGCTTAATTAGTGGTGTTCTTCAGTTCAAGAACCTTTCTGACCCAGACTGTACCATGACATTGGTGCTGTAGTGACTACTATCTACTTCAATCGCCTTTTAATAATGCATCGACGGCAGCCGTTGTGCGTGTTGCTCGACATCTTTTCAATATTTTTTTGAATCCACGACTACTCGTTTAATCTTTGACCAGTTTCCCTACCGGTAATCGGTGTAGTACTTTCTGAATCCATTGTTTCAGGCAACTTTTCTACATGAAAAATAGCATTTGACCCGAGAACAACCATGCCCACTGATAAGAAGTTGTGACGCGTATGCGCGTCATGCTGCCACCAACATGTTAACCCGTTGTGGACCGCGTGACTCGTCGGCGAGCCACACTTTCGAGAGGAAGAGTCGCTTTGCTCGATTTATTTGGCGTTTTTCATGTTACATTTTCATGCTACAGTGCTGTTCTATACATAATCGGATTCAAAAAAAGAAAATCATGTTTTCATCGCTAATAATGTTACTTTGTAAAAAATTACTAGTGATAAAAAACTATACGAAAAAAATCGTCACAATGCACGTACAACGGCAATCGTCCAATGGAATGAACAGAACCGTTTTTCATATACACACAGCCCGATCCAGACTAAATTTTAAAACATTTTACAGTTATCATGGTAAAGTGCTAATGCACCTAATGTTTGCGACATGCCACTAACGTGAAATTGTTAATGGTGGACGTCAGAGGAAAACTGTATTCCGCTTATTGTCATAGTGCAAAATGGCTCCGCATAAAAAGCCTGCACGGTCACTGGTCGTCATCCACTCAGGATGTCAGCTAAGATTGCCTTCGTGAGTTCGTTTGTTATCAAATACAAATACAATTTTATGAAAGCTTAGAAAAGCATTTTCAGGTCCTCTTCCTTACACTGCAATGCAGCTTCGTACAAGGTAGGTACACAACAGGCCTTCAGTCAAGATATCTTTCAAAGCATTGAGTAAAGCATCGCGGATTAAGGTCAGACTGGAACTAATACCACCAGCTCATCGAATGCGACGACAACCACTACGACCACAACTACCACAACCACTACCACCACCACCACTCCTCGTTAGTGCTTGAAAGTAGTTTTCTTAGAATTAGAACTATCGCTACAGAAGTCGAAGGTCCGAAGAAAACTCATTTACTCTGCCTTACAGCGTCGACAGCATGTCCCAGCACAGCATTCTCCATGGCCTTCAGGGAAACTGCTCTTGGGATGCACAATAACTTCAGGTGAAAATGACAGTAGCCGCAACATTGACCTCCTGAAGTCACCTGACATGTTCAGAGCATTCGTCGCGACTGGACGAGCCAGGAATGGATATTACGCCGCCGAATATGCACCGCCAGCAGCGCTCATGTACCGCCTGGTAATTTACCTACCTGCCATTACAGCAAAATCGTTCAAGGGAACGAGCATGGACTCATTCAGAAGTACGACTGCTGGGCTGAAGCCTATGCCCAAGCACACGTGAGGAGCTGCAGTGGACGCGTATCAAGTCCCTGGCAGAGACCTGGCTGGAAGGAAAACATCCACGTTCTCCGAACGACAGCCACCGATGACTTGGGAGCTATTCAGAACGTAAGTTTGAAATTTAGCCGTGGCAAAAGCTTCTTGTCACTAACTTCTTCAGGCCAGCCTCATTCACTTACTTCTTCCAATACCATTACATTTAAGGCGATTGCGAGGTGGCAGTCTGAACTTGTACTATACGGAGTACCTTCGAACGTGGTCTACCAATCTTGGATGCGTGATGCAACGAGAAGGGTTGTGAGACACATGACTAAGGTTCGCCACTACGTTATCAGTGAAGAGCTTGAGCTTACACGAGAGATAGTGTGATGAGCCGAGTATGGCATCGAGAAAAACGGAGCGCCTCTCCCTCCTTAAAACCCTTTAGGTCAGCATCATGTTATTAAGGAGCTGTTACGTGGAGCTGTCGTGGGTATAGATTGTATTTGTATTCTTCCCGCATCTTACTGCTCCTTTATCTCCGAGGATGAAAAGAGGTAGCCATCATCTCACGAAGAGCCTAACTTTTGGAAAGAGAGGATGTTGCAGCACATGAATGGATGAATGTGCAAGGTTTCAACTTTCTCTGATGATGGTGCGAATGTGGGTGGCCCCTAATACTTCTCAGTTCCCTGCGCTCCACGACAAACGCTTGCCACCTGTCCATCGACCACACCGAAAGGGTTGCGAGCTTGGTCTTCCAAATTTCCTAATCTCACTTTGAAAAAATAAAAAAATTTCCGAAAAACGATACTCTACCTCTTTGCCCACTGGTCAACAAGTGTGGTTCTCAAGATCCTTTTTATGAGATTGAATTTTTGCTATGGGCACAGTTGTATACTATCTGTCATTTACCTTCACTAATTACGCTTTTATTGGAGAAGGAGAAGAGTAGTTTTCGCGCAGTTCTTCTGGAGGCAATAGCCCCCAGTTATCGACGAGTTGTGGGTATTGGTGTCTTGCAAGTGGCATGGATGGGTTGGAAGCTAGCATGATTGAGCAGAAAGAAACTTTAACAAGGTCAAAAGGAAGGACCACGTCTTCAGCGGCGCGAGGCAACAAGGCAATAATCTTGGGCGAGCTAATAAGTGGTTTTGGGCTAGGTCAGTGCCGGCATCCAAGCCTAAGGCGCGGCCTTGTTATCACTCGAAATCGGCTCATTCTCCCTTCTCGCGCCTTCTCAGGTTAATTTCGATCAGAAATCCCGACGTTGCCTTCAAAAACGCTTTCATATACTTTTTTAGGCGACTAATTCGTCAGGCATCGCAATAACTCCACCTAATTTCAGATGGTCTGGGGTTCCAACCAATATATTGGATGCGCAACACAGAGATGCGGCGGATTCTACTTCACATCCTGCTTATACAAGAGCTAGTAAGTCCTCGCTACCGTCCCCTTGGCTGCCTTTGCATTCAACCTCTTTCTTCAGCGTCAACACCATTGGGGCAAGCATCTACCCGATCGGAGCAGTCTGTAGTCAGTGCCCTGGTGGCAACTGTGTTGGCAATGTTGGACTTTGCTCGTTTTAAAAATCATATGGAAGGTTGAAAATGGAAAACTCATAAAACGTTCTTCTCAGTTATTTCTCTTTTTTTCGCACACTCATAGATAGTTGTGCCACATTGTGGTTTTCAACGACGGCCATCATTTTCTATTGTACGTTCCGAGCAGGCAACCATGGGTCAGGAAAGATCGAAATTTTACAACCCCTTTCTCCGTTCCAACTCCAATGGTAGATGACGTCGTACAATTTGACCCACCAAAAATTCCGACCCCGAAACTCCTTAATTCGGACTGAGTATGGTGCACACACGCTCATATAACCGTTATAATAGAAAATATCGCCTAACTCTCCAAATTACCGACTTCTCAAATTTCCTTCTTCCGATGTCTCAGTGAAATTTTCAGAAATATAGTCCTAAATTTGCCAAGTAACCCCCCCCCCGCGACAGTGTGAGCGAGACACACTTTGACAATAACATCCACATAAAAATTAAACGAATCGACAAAATGTTTCTCCCGGACGGGGGTGCAGTCTGTGGGAAGGCTCCTAGGACTAGGCCTAATGGAAAGGAACGATTTCCGGAAGGAATGAGAATTACTTCCATACTTCGAATTCCCTCTTTTATTCCAAAGCTTAGTCCTAAAACTGAGCGTTTCGCGATATAACGCGCTGCATGAGATTCCTAAAAAATGGCGTCATCGCAAGATACGAAGCCATTTTCTAGGACTAAGCCTAAGAGGGGGCAAAAGCTCCAGGGAAAATGGAAATTGCTCATGACTCTGGAGTCTCTCCTTCACTACCTCGGCCTATTTCCGCTGTTAACAAAAGAAGTTGTTTTACGCGAGGTGCAATACAAGTGGGGGAACGCCCAATTTTTCGAATACGGTAGGCGCGAAATGTATGTAAGTGGGGACTGCTGCCCGCTACTATGACGTGACGAGACGCTATGAAGTAACTCACACATTCCAGCTTTTCACGCATGTCAAGTGACTGCCCTCACCCCCACCCCTAGATTGGCTACACTCCCTGGCTCACGAATTCCCTCAATTCTCGTGACACCATAGTAGCGGGCAGCAGTCCCCACTTACATACATTTCACGCCTACCGTATTCAAAAAATGGCGTCCCCATCCACTTGTATAGCACCTCCTGCGGTTTTGAGAGTGTGCTGCCGCCACTTGCCCACGTATCCTGCGATTGCTCCAATATCAATTTTCATGGAATGTCTGGGGGGTTGTATGACATCTAATCCTTTTGGTGTGGAGGGAACCTGGTAGTAAGTAAGAATGCGTAAGCCAGGGGGAATGGGGCCAATTCAGGGGGGTGGGGGGTGTGTGAGCCACTTAACCTGTGGCAAAAGTTTGGGCCTAAGTGTCTGGTGTCTGGCCTTGTGAGGGAGACGCAGAGGAGCAAAAGGATTAGATGTCACAAGACCCCTCTGCGACTTGAGTCCGAGCGAATAAGTCTGAAGTACAACGAGTGACAAAGTAAAATGTACTTACTGATGACTCTGCACACACCCAAAATGCAAATGAACATCATCGCAGCCCTCTCTGGGCGCACTACAGTTTGCTTCAAGCGCAATTCTGCGATCAATTAAACGCGCTCGTTAACGTGATCAAGGGCACGAAATGGACGCAAAGTGAAGAAAAAAGGAGAAAAAACCTTAACACCGATAGCCGCTTCTGCGCCATCAGGCCGTTGAGACCTTCTGAACCTTCGTCACCGAGTAGATTCGTGCTGGATCGCAGCCCACGTTTGAGTTATTTTTTCAACTTTTGACGCGTCCATTCCTGACCTCCATCTTCAACATTCAACAATGGTGATTAGTAGATTACCTTGTTAATTTTCACTGTAGAGCAGACCAACCAATAGGCCCTGGGATGAAGGTAGTTCAAAAATCTTCATGCGCCACTAACGACTTTTCTACGTATCGTCTAGACCCACGCCTTTTCCAACCCGCTATTTTTCATTACACTTGCGAAATGTCGCCAACCTGAGAGCGTTTGAGGATACGAACAGAGGGCTCTAATTTCTTAAAAACTCATGAATTGCTCAATGCAGCTACTGCAAGAGGTGGAGACCTACCCATTCCATAGTGAAATTCGATATCACTTTGATGAAATACGTTTCTTATTTAGTTTGCGAAAATATATGCAGTTCGGGCGGAACTCGATACCCCGTCGAGGCTTGGACATCCATTGCTAACCATTACACGAACAGCGCACGTCCAGTCTGTGTTGCTTGACGGTATCCCGGGAGCGCCGTCGCGCGGCAAGAAGGCAAAGTCAGCGGACGAGTCGCGAGCGTACTATAGGGATTCCACGTCGAATTGAATAGAGTGTCCCACTGCATGTCCTACATCGCGCACCACGCGCTGCAACTCGTCTCGACTCTGCCTTCCTGCCGCGCGACGGTCTCTGGGAAGTACCTCGACCGGACGGACTTGCTTTTATGCTTTTCGCCGATAACTTTTCGTTAGACCCCTCAATCCTACTCATAATCACGGTGGACCTGGGTTCCCACAACAGAAAGCTTTGCGTGTCGATTTAAAAAAGAGGGAAAAATTCCTTTCTGTCGTAATGTGAACCAAAATTCCACGTCTATTAGCCACTTGCGATCCGATGCACATAACCATCCGCTAGTGAGCGCGGCCGAAATATAATTCCCCTTTCTCGCTATGTGCAACAGCTAATATCACTTTTTAGAAGTGAGGCGCTTTGCAAGACACGGCGCATGGATAGTTGGCAATGCGTTTGAGAACGCGATAAATATTTCTTATTTCAAATCGGACTAAGGCCTCAGCTAGGTAGGGGATTGCCAGGATGCGGTAGAGCATTTTCATGTGGCCCATCATTCCTGCTCACCTTCGTTGGGTCCTAGAGTGATGCCCTATCGTGCGATAGCGCCGCGAAGTGATCCCGATCTCAGCTTAACATCTCTATGTGACGTATAGCAAAAACCTGGCGCCCGTTATGAGAATTGCATATGTTGGACGGGTAGCGCTACCTGTCCAAGCGTTCGTGGTGTAATGGTTAGCATGGATGCCTTCCAAGCATTCGACGGGGGTTCGATTCCCCCCGAACGCAGCGCTTGTGCAATGTTTCTTGGATAACTTCATTTTGCTAGGGAATTACGCGATCTTATGTTAATTTCAATTTGGACTCTTAGTCTGAGGAGGAGTGTCCCTTTTAATCATTTGCCTGTCAGAAAGAGTTCGCTATTGGTTTGAAAAAATTGTTAGTGATTTTTGTTCATATAACATAAATAATTTTAGGTAACTGTTCAGACAACAAGAGAGGTATTGCTCTTGTGGAGCTATCGAATGTAACACATATAAATATTTATTGTCTAATAATACAACTGGGTCAATTTAGTCGTGAATGCGGACTTCATTGAAAAGGCGAACTGAAGAAATGAGAAAGCGAACAGGAATATGTAGATGATGATCTGAAAATTACCAATAAAGTTTGGTAATTCTGTCAATATCAAACATGCCGTAGCTCTGCGTAAACTTAAAGGCACATTCAGTGACTGAATAAATGAACGTGATTGGAACTGTGGTGCTTGAAAATGAACGCGAGTGTAAAATGTGCCTAAGGAGAAAGAACAAAAACTGTGAGGAACCATTAAACTGATATTGTACGCGGATGGTGTGGGCGGGGTTTGAGCCCAAAACATGCTGGAGTCTCATTGATTAGCTCTTGCGCTTGATAAGGTAAAATACTGTAAAGTACAGTAAATTGATGGAGCCAACCAATGAACCCATATGAGCAGAGCGCAAACTCCGCCCACACCATAAGCGTGCACTGCAGTCTTAAACCTTTTTTTAACAGTTTCTTTTCTTTCATTATGGGTGGTCAACCACCACAACTGCTTTCTTTTCGAACGCAATAACCTACACCTATTCAATCGCGGAACGTGCCTTCAAGGATTTATACCTGAATGACAGCGATTTCACGCTCCGTTTCGAGGGGTAACCAATCGATATACGGATGTGAAAAGTGGATCACTCTCAGGCAGTACTCCTCCGTTTTCGGTAACCAATGGCAGTGTCGTGTGAGGGAATGCGGTGTGGTGTTCCTGAAATTGCGTATCACAACTTTTAACCATTTATGGGTGGAGGAGGGCCAGACAATCAAGGAAATAGAAGTCTAGTTTTCAATAGAACCGCTAGAAGAAAGAAAAGTAGGAAGAACTCGCTACCAATGGGATCGCAGACCAAGTGCCGTACGCATTCTTACACAAGTTGGCAACCCACCTTCCCCCCTTCGAAATTGTCTACTAGTTTTGAACCCCGTTAAGAAGACGAGAAGATTGGCTGGTATACACTTGGCTAATTTTTTAGCCGCGGCATAATAAACCTCTACACATACAAAATTAGAACTTTAAAGGAATCTTGCGCGGAAAATTCTTGCACTCTTTCCTAACATGAATATGTCAGTTGTGATCACTGGAAATAGCACACAAAGTTTCACGCATGAAGATTCGGTTTCTGAAGAGAAACAAACGTACAAAAACTACACGTTATGGACCATCGAAGGACCAGGAGGCAGAGCCAGGCGAGGCATGGAAAGAAGACGGCGTTTGGCCGGCTACGTACCAGGCGACGCAATGAGAGAATCGGGTTAAAGCGCGCGATTTCGGAGAGTGGAGACAAATCGATCGATGGAATAGGATGGAGTAGAAGTGTAAGATGTGAATGCAACGAAGCAGAAGGCCAGAAAGAGCTTCTAGTGAATGCACTCCAAGAACCAAGTTTGAGCATCCCCGTCGCCAGCATTCGTGAAAGACGTCCGTGGGCAATTCGAACGCGTAGCAGCCTTTTCGAGTTTTCGAATTTCTAATCAAAACGAAAGCAATACTTCAGTTCTTTTCACTATTATCGTGGATAATGAGTCTCAAGCCAGTGATTTATGGCTGAAATAGAATCATGATTTTTCCGCGCAAGATTCCTTTAATTTGTGTCAAAACTTTCGCCTAGAGTTGATTCGTACACGGATCCCTTGTTTTCCAGGCAATTGTGCTACCAGTTGCACCACCACGAGCACCATCACCCTCAACCTCATTCCAATCAACAAACAAGTTAGAAGTTATCAACTACGCCGAAAAGTTAGAGTGCTCATCAACCAGTAAGAGGCTCCGGAATCATGCATTTGTTTATACTGATGACAGTTATTTGTTCAAAATTGTAAACAACGCAAACTATAAACACGAACTCACCGATGAAACCAGCAGAAGACGCCGAAGAACCGTCGCTGCAAGCATCAGAAGCGCCAAAGCGGCTCCAGCGACATTCATCGCACGAGACACAGAACCATGACATTTGGTACGCCACGATACCACACCTGTAAAGTGTCAATTACTTGTCGCAACTACATAGGAGATCTCTCGATCAGGCTGAATCCCCATTCGTTGTTATGTGTTCATCAAGGTCAAGGGCACTCGGCAGGAGGGCCGTCGCGCGGAGAGAAAGCAGAGACGCAGACGGATCAACGGACGAGTCGCTGCGTGAACTGCGTAATGTGGGACTGGCGCACATTCTATTTAAGTTGACGATAAAATTGTTACAGCACATGCTACGACTCGACTGCTGTCTAGTCTGGGTCTCTACGTTCACGCCGAGCGATGGGCCTCCTGTCAGGTACTCGCTCGTCAAAGTATGAGTATGAGTTGGACGAAATGCATATTGGGATGGACATGTAGACACGGGCAGCGATATTGTCTGATAATGGTATTGTTGTGGGTATGTATACGGGGATGAATACAATACCATAGAGGAGAGAGTAAGGGAACAATTAAGTACGTATAGGTATAAGAGTAGAGAATACCACAGAAGTGGTATTGTTTGGATGTGAGTTCAAACATAGATGTGGTGGGGATCGGGAAGGGTACCCTTTGTTTCCGAAAATCAGGTGCTCGTCGAGTGCAGACCACACAACACAAGTGACGACGGCCTCACAAAATGTAAATGTTTCTGCCAATGAAATGATTAGCCTGTTGCAGTTGTATTCTATCAGTTGTCACTAATTACAACTATCATTTACCAACTATCACTATGAACACTAGTTACCAGATTTACTTGGAGGCTGTCGTCACTTGTGGTGTGTGGTCTGCACTCGACGCGCACACCTCGGAATCAGAGGGTACCCACTCTTAGAAAAGACATGAGCTCACCTGGACGGGACATAAGCTTTTCAACGGTATCTATTTTCGACTGCTCGATTGAGGGTTACCACAAGGTACTCCATTAGGGTTTTCAGCCAGTATTTTTGACAAAAAAGAAAAGCAATGGAAAATAACATATAAGTGATAATTTCAGTGCTTCAATTTTTGCAGAGCCCAGAAATGAAAGCAATGCAATACCTTGAATCACTGAGTAGACTCCGACAGCAAATGGAAGGCCGAGAAAGAAAAACGTGCAGCAGAACCTGAATAATGCTGATATTTGGAATGGAAACCGAAAAAAAACCCAAGAACTGCAGAGCAAAAAATTGGTCAATACCTAAAATGGAAAATACCCGTGAAAGCGACCAATATTCCGATAATTAATTGATAGTGATATGAGTAAAGCCGAATTCTGGAAAAAAGGAATTCATTATTCCAAGTAACTGAACCACCACAGAAACTCTTCAGGCATTTTTGTGTTGCTGAAGTACTTCTCATCGAAGGCACATCTCCTGGTAAGGTGGATCAATTTCTGGATAGGTACATCTGCCCGCTCAATTCGCAGCAGTGTAGTTTTGCGGCTCGAAAGTATGTTAGCTCTGTCATGACTTAAAGGCAATGTTCTGGCCCAGACCCTTAAGGAGCCTTTACTGTGGCTAGAATTTAGGTACGCAAGTGCAGAGGCCGCTTCACTTCCCTACTTCGAAAAGTGATAGTTAGACGTTAGCAGCTAAAGTCTTTGGGATACCTCCCTCCACCAGTACTGCCATGGCTCCGCCACCGCTCGAAATGTTTCTCGGATAAATGACTATTCTATGGCTCTCCTTACCCGCAACTTATCTAAACCGCTCTCGCCGTCACTATTACCATCTCATCCTCGCCTCGCGCCCTTTTCAATTTCTCTGGCAGGGCTGAAACCTTACATTTCTATGCGGATTTCACGGCTTTTTCTCTGGGTTTGCTCCACTGGCGTCCACTTCCCATCCCTACTTTTACATTTGATTGGTACCTAATCAAATTAATTACTGCTGGTGATCAAGGCTCCTCCGGAAGGTGCCTGCACTCTCGCTTACCGCTGTGCTCTCTTGCCTTAATCTTTTCCTTCTACCTTAGTGCCCAGTACTCCTTGTATCGCTCCCTACCTTATATTGGAACCACATTCAAGAGGACGAAAGGCTTTAATGTCCGAGTTCCAGTCTTTTTTATGTATTCATTTATCCTCCACTGCCGGCACACCAGGCTCTTACCCCTGCTTCCATTTTCTTTCTGCATTCAGAGCAACCAAGTGGCCAGGGGGTATGTCTTTGATCTTTCCTATTCCTACTCACTTGATTTCGGTAGCACTGTAGAATCGTGAGAGCTGTTGTACAGCATAGATGAATACCAGATAGTATAGAAAGAGATGCAGTGATGAAGAATCGTATCGATTCGCGATCCTAAAATGAGATTTTATACAGTATTACCACGTAGACCCAACTCAGATTCCATGCAGAGCCTAAGGCTAGCGTGAAATGGTCTTATTGCTGCTTCTCTTCACGTTTCACACATCCTACCTTAGCTTCCCATCCAATTTTCGTAAGAAATGACATCTGAAGTGGCCCGAAGAAAATCCACGCACGACTCGCCCATTCCCATCGTTCGATACTTCAGTCCATAACAAACTCCTTCGTTCACTTCTTCTTCAGTATTTGTGTCTGAATGGAAAAGAGTCATAGCTTTCCGTCGCGTGGGTTGTTTGCGAACGACCTGAACTTTAAAGGAATCTTCCACGGAAAAAGCTCCGCCCTCATTACCACAGAAAACGATACCTTAAAGGAATCTTCCACGGAAAGAGTGATCATTTTGTCTTGTGTGTAGGATTAGTATTATCGAAACTAACGCTTATGTTCCGTTCTTTTTGCTATGCTCATGAGGCTAGGGGCCTAAGGGTATCGTTTTTCTGTGGTAATGGAGGCGGAGCTTTTTCCGCGGAAGATTCCTTTAATCTCGTATATCTTCGTATAATCATAAGCCCCAACCAGGGCCAATAGTCTTTTATTAATTACTAAGGGGGATCCACCTACAATTTCTGAGGGGAGATAGAATCAAGGGTTTTGAAGGTTTAGTTTTGAGCGATTCATTTACGAAAAACCTTTATGAAGTAGAGGACAAAAGATCGCGGCAGAAATAAACCCATATTCTCGGTCTATTGAGTATGCAAAAGTACGCAAAATGACTCTAACTCGTACCTACTAACCTTCTCGTGCGGCGGCTAACAGATCAATTCCTCTCCAATTCATTTGATTGTTTCATATTGAAATTGTTTACTTTCTACACGCTTTCACTGTTGCATATTCATCGTTGAAAAAATCACACTTCACAGGTCAAATATTTTCGGGGGAACAATTGTGAGGGTTTTCCTTGGATCTTGAAGTTATTCAGATTAGCTTTAGAATATTGCAGATGGTGTGAAATGTTTTTAAGGCCGATGTCAGACTTTGCGAATCGCGCGAATCGCTAGTAGCGAATCGCGCGATTCGCAAAGTCTGACATCGGCCTAAATGATCCGCCTAAACATGCGCATAACTCTATAACTTGTCCTAACATTGGATAAAAATCCGATTTTATATTGAACTCAGCCCGGTCCATCTGAGATAATTTCCAGCTGTTCTGACGGAGTTAGAGGTTTTGCAGAGCGCATCGCTAACTCAATATGTTGTGCCTCTGGACGATGATTAGGATAAACTCATTGTTCTTAGAATTCCTTTCTTGGGACACAAACAATGACGCCCAGAACCATTCTGTTTCTATCAGAGACAGCACACATACTCTCGAGAGGAATTTCGCCACAAATCATATCAAAGTAAAAATTAAAGCGGAACTTACTTTGAAAATCGCCTACACAGTAGGTTTCCAATAGTGATGAGAAGAAGAACCAAAAGGATGTAAAAGTGCACGTGAACTGCATATAGAAGGAACACCTGGAAAATTCATAGGCTTGATTTTTAAGTACAATTTATTTTTATATCAATAGCGGAAGCATCTGATTTGATTCTCATTAACTTTGCTACATTTAGAAGAACCACGCCCTCACTTTGGCATGATAAGCTGAATCAACAGCAATTGTTCCAGGCACAGGTTGCCATTAGAACCTCAGAGCAATCCTCTCCGCAAAGGAAGGAGCAGGGTCGCTGAGCACAGACAGAGGTCGTAGCACTAGAAACAGAAATGCGCATTAAGGGCGCTAAAGCTCCTGCGTCAGCTGCCATTTTTACTTATTCGAAGCAAATTCGGTGTACGGTTTCTCTCGAAGGACGCTTTCCCCAGTATTCCCTCTCCTTACCGCGCTGTGCCTCTACATCGTACCTCGGTCGACTTCAAAATAAGGAGGCTCTTCTAGTGCTTTTTTTAATGGTTTCTTCTTCTCTTCGCACTTCACGTTTCATTTTCAGGCGAAGTGACCCATCAATTCGATCGCATTTCGTGCCTTAAAGGTGACGACATGATCACCACCGCTAAGGCACTGAAAATCTCGCTAAAAACGTACATTGGGTAGGGTAGTGGCCAGAAGCGCCCCAACGGCACGCGCATTCCGGAGATCTACATAGTTCCGATTCAGAGCCGGTATCGATTTCACGGCTCATTGAAGAAGTTGCTGATGTCTACAACACCTATCCCAGTAGGTCACTGTCCAAGGCAAATACGCACTAGTATAGCGCTACATAGGTGAACGAAAGTCGAGTTCTCATCGGGAATTCCACATAATTATTATCGCATAACTTTTTTTTTGAGAAATTGAAATTACTTCGAAAGAACTTCAAGCAAAAATTTCCTGTTTCATGGGGACTATAAAAGTGACTCTGGAAGGAATACTCCACAATTAGTCTGTTGGAACAACCCTCTCTGGATAGGGCATGACAGCAAGGGAAGTGGACCCAATTCGCGCTTCCGGAAGCGCGTTACGCAGTATTAGCACGCGGGGGATATATATCCCGCGCATTGCAGGCCATGTCGGACCGTGCGGGATATATATCCCCCGCACCCATTACTCATTTTTTTCGCGCACGCCTGATTCTTTTAGAAGTTTCTTGTATGTATTTATCCATGGAAGAGACCTTGACGTAGCTGCAAACATAGTGGCCCATAGAATGATCACGCATGTTTCAATTTTATAGAGCATTATCTGAGACCATCCAGTTGAACATGGTGCTTCTAGCGTTTAAGTAAAGATTTGTCGGGTGCAACCTTTTTCTTTAGAATGTTGAAATTTAAATAGCATAGAAGTAAGTCAGGCGACCTTAAGGCTGACACTTTTCTGTTTGATTAAAAATACAGAAATTGCTTTTAGTGTCAATTGCAGATAACTTCGTATAATACACAAAATTGCTTTTGAGGTCCATTGCAGCTAGTTCTGAAAAATTTCGCTTTTTCATTGTTATTCCATGTCTTTCGATCGAAATTCCACTACTGTACCCCTGGTTAGGTTGCGCTCATTACAATTTACTGATTTGGTTTTGAATTGATCATTAGTTGTGTATTTATCACTCAAAATCTGCTTGAACGACCTGAGGCGAGCGCGCCCGCAAAATCGCCGCGGTCCCACGTGGCCAAAAAAGCCAAAACTCGCGTTGTCGTCAACGTGTTAACAAAGGGAGTCACGGGCTTGGGAAGTGGGTAGCCTGCCTAAGACTCGGGTGACTAACAATTTCGGGATGATGTCTGCGTCTCGCTTGTCTCCTACACTCTTTCGCCTCTTTACCTATCCCCTCATCGAGGTGTCCACTGTCTCTGAGACTGTCTCCCTTGGAGACCCGTCATCACCTCAGGAAGAGACAATAATTTCCAAAGGTTTCATTCGCTTTCCACGTTGCTTTCTCGACATTTTTTTTACCTAGCGCTAGTCTTGTGGAAACTCCGTTTTATCTTCGTTTACTCTTTTCTTTTTACACACACAAAAACGCTTACCTATTTGGGTACCTCAGGAAAATTGCATGAAATGATGCCAAGAGTCCGAAGAACTCCATTCAGCAATGGAAAGCATAGAAAGTACAGTGGTAGGCAGAATAATAAATGCACAACACCACATGAAAATTCGCACTGAAAAAAATTCACTGCAAATCAATCAATACATATACCAGAAATGTCTGAGCTGCACTACGACTACAGCTGTAATAACAGGCATATCTTGAAAGCAGTGATCGCGATGGCTGTAGGGCGGTGCGGTTTTGATGACGTCATGAACGTGATTGGTGGACTAGACCCTCAGCGCGCTGGAGGTGTGGTTGGGACCGCCTCTCCACGCCATTCCACCAATGACGTTCAGTGACGTCATCAAAACCGCACCGTCTTTCAGCCATTGAAATCGCAGCTTGTAATTGCAGGCTAGATAACACATTGGCATGAGATAGTATCGACGACACCAAAAAGCACATGTGATCTCCATTTTTGCCGTCGTCATCGTCATCCGTGCTGCTAAGTCTGCAATTACGCAATGCCCTACACGGGAAACGGAATATAATGCTCACCAGGGCTATGATGGCGAGCAGTGGATAGAGGCTCCACTGCGGACCAGTCTGGCCCATTCGTCTAGACGTCGGTTGTGTTTGCCTAACCGTGGTGCTCTGAAATTATGACATGTGGAGTGATTGTTGTCAAAGATATGTGAACGCTTAAAGCGAATAGAAATAAATAAAATATAAAATAAAGGACAAATGGCAAACATTCTGGATGAGCCATGCATGCTTCTTTTGCAAAAAATGGAAACATAAAGGATAAAGCATTTGCCGTTGATCAATCCCTTTTTGGGATGCGGCACGCATTCTACTTCCATTTGTACATTCGTAGTGGCGTTTGAATGCGATGTGGCCTATACAATGACTTGCGGGGGCCAGCCGATGTACAAGTCAGTGTTTTTATCCTCCCAGACAAGTCTGGTACCAATTAACCGACCCCGGAGGGATGGAAGGCTCACGACCCAGGATTCGATCCCCGGACCGCTCGCGTGGTAAGCGCGCCACTTGCCACTACACCACTTCCGCAGAAAATGGAAAATAATCTATCCATGATTCGTCACTCTTCTCGTGGATAAATTCATTCGCACCACTCCCCTGTTTCGAATCGAACTCATTATTTTTGAATACTTACGTAGTATTGAACCAAATAACCAGGACAAAATTTGACCCAGGCTAAGGCTGACCTAACCCTGAAAATCCGGCGTGGCGTGCCTAGCGAGCTGCCTGTCGAATTATTCTTCTGTATAACTGTGGGCTCAACAGTAGCACAGCTAAGCATGACATTCAAAAAGTCCTCACCGGAAACTCAGAGCTTCAGGTGTTGTTCTTCAAAAAGGAGGATTCAAAAAAAGCAGCCATTCCCTTCTCTCTACTACTTGGAAACATCGAAGGACGAAAGCTATTGCGAGTGCCGCTGGTCTGCGATTTGGCGATACAGAATCATAACCAAGTTTCTATGAGCGATAGATGTCCAAGTAGGGTGGAAATGGAATAAAATAAAAAAGTAATAAACCAGATTTGAACTGAAAAATATAATATGTTAAAGAAGCTTATGGAGCAGTGTTAAAATCAATGTAAGAAAGATTAAAAGACTTCTGGGAGACACACAATGATGAGGCCGCATGGCCTGCAAATTTCGATGATTACTTAAGTGTTGAGCTTATGTGGGCAAATGAAAGAGAAATTTAAGTTCAGCACGTTGAATTCAAAGCGGACTAAAGAGCGATACGTACAGAGTAATTTTGTGTTTTGGAGTTTTCCTTTTGGGTACAACAAGAGGATTTGGAAGCGTTAAAGGGAGCGGGTAAAATTTCCCCCCCCCCCCCCCCCCCCCCCCCCCCCCCCCCCCCCCCCCCCCCCCCCCCCCCCCCCCCCCCCCCCCCCCCCCCCCCCCCCCCCCCCCCCCCCCCAAAAATATTTACCTGGAATAATACGACGTCGCAGCTTCAAGAGCGCCGGATACTTCACTGAGGGGAACAAGCCGTTTAGAGATGGATTTTACCATAAAAAGGCAGCCCATCAGAAATTAACGGAGAAGGTGGACAAAGATGAGGGATTGCGAAACCCAGAAAAATGGTCGCAGAACCTAAGAAATAGACCTTTTTCTGTTCGTCGATTCGGGGCGTGCCCCATCGTTGCTGACGTCAACAGCGCACAAGTACGCTCCTGCGTCTCTGCTGAACGGCTACCGTGCGCGGCTATAATCCGACGGCGAGAAGGAAGACAGTCGAAGGGCGGGTAGCGCTGCAAGCGCTGCCGTCGCACCCTTCGCTGGCGAGAGCGTCTCGTCCCTCATCTTCAAGGAGTTTACCTATCTTTCTAGTAGGCATAGGCTTTGTAAATTCGAAGTCTAATTTATCACGAGTTCCCTCTTTTAGAGGCCTGCCGCAAAAATTGTTGGGCGTGTAAAAGTTACAGACCACCTTGTTTACGCTATTTGTCCAATTCAAAGTTTTACGGGGCTTACAGCAACGCCCACGCTCTCTACAACATAGAAGATAACCTATTTAGTTTTCTCTGCTTGGAAGAACATGTTTCTACTACACTAACCGCTCAGGGCTTCGAGCTATAAAGGCGATCACCGTCGGTGTTACTGTTGACGTCCCGAGGGATTGCGTGCCGGAGCACCTATATGAATTGTCCTCAAGATGCACGAGCAGCCCAAACATCGTATGGTTGACGTAAATTGAGCAAGATTCTCCTCATGGCTTGGTGCTGAACAGAATCAGCGCAATCTCCCCCCGTCGCGGAACGTGCTGGATACCCTCACTTCATTTTCAGAAGGGTCAAGTTCTTAAGGCCTATCGGTAAAGGAGGGGCATGGCCATTAATGACTTGAACCATGCTATTCTTGTTTCTCAAAGCCTGGCCTCAGAAACTCGCCGATGCCCTCCAAGCCGAGCGCTGCTTCCGGCTCAGATTTGGAGTTGATTCGTCGTCCCTTCCCCGGACTAGTTAGCGATGGAGAACGCTGATTGAACGTTGATTCAGTAACCCAGGTTCACAAACCGACGGATCAACGACCCATTCAGAGAGATAATGCACTGAACACGGAATAGTAACAGCATTTGCTCAAGACGGGATGTCAAGGAGGCAGTGGACAGCTTTGGTGCCAAGCGCTCAAACCAAGTGACGCTAATATTCATTTCACTCAAGCTGTCTCCAAATTTATGTTGCATACACTCAAATTTCAACAGTTAGCCCGGAATCATCCAGGTGGATTCACAAAAGGAACAAGAAATGGAGCTAGTTCAGAACTATGATGCGTGAAATCATTTGCAAGACGAGTGCACTAGCAAGCGTCCGAGTCGCTAACGAGCAGGCAGCCGGCTAGAAAGGAAGCCATCCGTCGACCACCCACCGTGTAAAAAGTCGTCCAACTTCCTGAGACTTCCAGATATTTGCGAAATCCAATGGAGGAAATCAATTGGACCAGAAGGTCTTTCAGCAGGTCTGCGTTGTCGACTCAACCGGAAGAGGGCCACAAAAATTAGGCTATTTCTCTCAGAAAATGTAATACATTTGTCAAAGAATATACAAAATAAGCCGCTTAAAACACATAGTTTTTCTATGTTACATTTCTAATCATAAAAAGATCAGCAGGAACATCACTGGCAAGACAATTTTTATAATAATCAGCGCGATTCTATTTCGGAATGCCGTCCATACAACTCGTTCAACTACCTGAACCTCTTTCAACCGAAACGAAGCTGTGTTTTTGTGTATATTGAATGGATCGCTTTTTAAGGCCTATATCAAGCAACTGACTAGATATAGTTAGACCGCTTAATTAATTAGCTATGTATTTACTCACTTATCTGCCCATCTATCTACCTATGTAGCTATTCGTTTATTTGCTTATGTATTTACACAAAAGTTCTCAAAAACATAAGGCAGAGATTTTGGAGGGTAGAGATTTTGTGAAAGATGGATTTCCCTCGCGAAAAATGAAGTTTATATAGACAATCACAGCCAAAATTCCATGCAGGAAAACGATGCCCTGCCCGAGCCCTGTTCGAGTTCATAGTCCGAAAGTTATTAAATATACTGAATATACCTACACTAAGAATTTGATCCTGTGACAAGTGATCAATAACGATAAATAAGGTTTTTCAAAGTGTTATTACTGCTCTCCTTGTTCAACCAAGTATAAGTGAATTTAGAACAACAGAAAGGGTGCACGGCGCATTCCTGGGAGAGTTTATCCGACAACCCATTTTTGATTAGTTAGGAGAAAAAACTGTAGAACTATTATGAGTTTCAGGTGAGGAACGTCGGTGGTAACGTTCAGAGTATCAAGAAAAAAGGAGCAAATCGAAAACACAGGCCGTTCATCGTAGAGTGCGCCAAGCCTCTTACTATCAGACACATTTTCAGAGATATTTGACAGCGAGTGTGACTTGACAAAAATCAAAACCTAAAATCAGCTGACAGCTTTCGAGAGTCGATATACTCAACCCGAACATGGCTGAGTAATTGAGTTCGATTTCAATACTGTGAATTTGGCAAAGTTCTTCAGAAAGTGCAGTCCCTATGACGATGGTGAAATTCAGTTACATGCAATCAGCGATGATTCAATTGGAACTTCGTTTCAAGTTTAGCAGATTCCCAACAGCTGACCGCTCTAGGGAATCCCGACACAGATCCGGACTATCTCTGATGAGAAGTGCTTCAGCCTCGTTTCACGTGATACGTCCTATGTAAGTTAACCCTAATTCAATCTCCACGGATTTGAAACAAAGCAATAGGCATGGCGTAATTCCTGATATGTCACTCACATATTTCTTCTCTAGCCATTTATGGGAAAAAGGCGAGAGAAAAGACTCACAATATTGTTAAAATTAAATGATAGGTTAGGTTACCTGATGAAATGAAATAGAGATTCAACACATAAAAAAGAAGGAGGAGGAGGAAGGACCTGGCCATTCTTAACTAAAAAACTTTTTTATTCTTATATCCTATGCCTTTCAAAGTAGTGGAGATACATGACTACGGCTAAGGAGCAGCCCCAT